TTTGTGCCCCGCCAGCTTCTTGTTCCATGCCTACCATGGTGTTTTTGTACAGACAGCACTTCAGACAGCAAGTATGCTGTAGTCGGCAATCATTCGTTTTGGTACAGAGTGGGACAAGTAGGGGGTGATGTTGCTGTAGTCGAACGGTGAGACGGACGTGTAGTTCAGTTTTGGGCACGCGTACGGTGCTGCAGGGATTATATATAGGTGTAGTAGTACCTCTTCGGGCTCTTGGATACCTTTTTCTTGCTACGTGTGCGTGTTCTTTAGATCCTCAGATGGCTCTAGCACTTTCGTGACCACGGGCTGAGAGTCTTTGCTAGATTTTGGCATTCAGCAACTGGCATACGGTTTAATGTGAAGTCAACAACAACAACAACCTTCCTCCTGCGGTGTGTGCTGAATTTTATTTTTATCGCGGGAAGGGTCCAGCCGTCCCTTTCCCTCGTCAACGGTGCTAACGTCGAAGTTTGGTACTCACGAGAACTGTCAGCTATATTTCGCTTTCACCTGCACATTTCGTAAATTTTTCACNGCTGAATTTTATTTTTATCGCGGGAAGGGTCCAGCCGTCCCTTTCCCTCGTCAACGGTGCTAACGTCGAAGTTTGGTACTCACGAGCAGTGCTTTTCAGCTTTGTTTCGCTTTCAACCGCAAAGTTTGCAATATTTTCACCCCGTAGGAATTCGAACTCACGACCTCTGCGACTAGCGGTTTACGAGGATATCACTAGACCACCGGGGCGACCGGTAGGTGCTGTGTGCCAGTCGCGCCGTAGAGAAACGCGGCGAAACTGGTGCCGTTTGGCGAGGACGTTGGTTCCAGGTCCAAACTTGTTCCCCTCTGCGGAGATACATAGCGCGATATCGCTGTATTCTACAGCGGTAGTGCTATATGCTAGCGCTTGTAGTAACACAGGTTATCCTGGCACTAGACTTTATATCTGCCAATAGAGAAGTCTTCGTTGTGTATTGTAAGAAATAAAACTCTTGCGTGTTTTCGCTTGTTTGTCTACTTGAAACACAAAGACTATTGGTCTATTATTAGACTAGTCTAATCTGCTAGAAAAATATATTTACACAGAAAGACTACCCGTTCGAGATATGACCACAGCAGTCGAACGGGATGCGTGTTGCCGCGGCGCGTTTGAACCCAAAACAACGACATGTATCTGCCGTGCCGCAAGCACAAAACATGAACTGATGTGCATGATGCGATGCTTACCTAAGGTGCGTGCCCAGGAGCCATGCTAGGCGTGCTGGGAAGGAGACATGGTTACCTGGTAGGGAGACTACGAAGATTTCCAACACGAGCGTCGTCATGAAGACGTTGCATCATTGGACTACAGGACTACATACACAATAATTGATGTTAACACTGCCGTCACTTGGCGAAGAAGGGGAACACAGACGAGATCGCTTGGCAGGAAAAAACTCAGCACAAGCTACTGACACAAGTAGTCCATTTCAATCGCAAGAAGAATGACGATCGTGATTTTGTGAGACTCTTGGCAAATTTGAATGTACCGGGACAGAGTTTTAGGAGTTTAACTATCTACGCGGGCGAAGCCCGCCAATACATGGTGAAACCCTTTCATCTGCGGGCCACACGCTTTCAAAATGTTGCATCACACTCAATGAATCAATTAAGGAAAGGAGACACCAGAGCAGAGGTGCCGTCACCGGGGCAGCAAAGAAATCACTGTGCATATATTCTGCCGTGCAGGTTGTCAACATGCCGACGCGTCGAGATGGATGATTGATGGCGATTGCTTTGGGTGGGGTGTTCACCCCAAAGAACCTACCGATAGATGAAGCCAAGAGAGCGAAAAAAAACAACGCGGGGGTGCCAGAGCATCATCATCACGTTACTTGTGTTCTGGCGAGAGGACGGGCGTGCAGATGATATTAAAGCATGCATGGATCCTGGGTGGGGGTACTACCGCTGTGCTGCAGGATCATCAAACTGGGAGATGCAGCATACCACGATATCCTGGCTTCGGCTGGGCTTGAAATACCCCTTTTGCTGTCCTCCGCTCTTTGCATCAGTGGCTTCCTAGGTTCGAGCGAGGGTATTTGTGATCTGAGATGTGTGTCTTCGCGAAAGAACATGTAGAGAGAGTCGTATTGGATTTCGCATCAAGCGCATTGCGCATTTTTCGAATTTTGGCCCCTTCCAGGGACCTTGATTTTTACCCGCTGGCACTGACGTCTATTATTCGCGTGTGTGTGTTTTGTGTTTGTGCGATCTCCCTCTCTCTTCGCTGTTGCGTGCTCGTCATCGACACTCAGTGTGGATTGACATTGCGACACTTCGTGCACACAGAGACCAGAGTGGCCTCTGCTGGTATGGGCGACTGGTAAGCGCCAGTTGCAGCGCCCAGGCTCCCGCCTGATGACGTGTGTCGGTCTCTGAACTGGTTGCTTCGAAAGCGGCGCAATTGCCAGAATTACTCGAAAATAGGCAAGACGCAACGTAGGCGCCAAATTAAATGGAGACAGCTGATTGGCGGACGCCAAGTTATATCGGTCCCGGTGGCTTTTTTTGCTGCCAGACTCTTTGATCGCGCTCTGCCCTGGTGCTTGGGCATTGAGATATACTAATATTGGAAATCCGATCCCGCGTGTTTTCCTCAGTTTAATGTTAACCTTCACGTTACAGAATCCCTTGTTAGAATTTACACTCGCTGTACCTTATATGACGATCATATCCAAGACAAGCTTCCGCTTTGAAGTCATACACAGCACGACACACCCAACTCTAGAACACATCAAAACAGCACGAAACAAACCCTCCTATGTGACCCCGGTTGGGTCGTCTAGCTGGTAGAAGTGGAGGATAGGGGCCAGAGGGGCAGACGACAGAGTCGAATGATGGGAGAACAAAAAAACTCAATAATTCTATCATGTATTTTCGTGCGCACGCATGGGCTTGTGAACTATAGACCATGGTCCAAGTATAGTGTACTCCATCGTGAATTTCAAAGGACAACTCGAATCTTAGTACCCGGCAATCAGGACATCGCCCACAAGATCACATCGATCGCGGGCCGCACCAATTAAGCGGTGGGCTACTCGTACCCATCAACAACAGGCACAAACCACTACAAATTCAACCACAAGATGAACAACAATATCTATCTATGGTGAGCACTATGGCGTGGTGTATTGAATGCCCAGCCACCGCAAGCTATCTGACCCCTGCCACTACTCTCGTTGTGATAAATATACACTTAATGTCCAATAAAACATCACCAATAAACACCTGCGCTTCCAAAATACTCCAATAAGATAAATGATGTCCCGCACCGCGCCGCATGCAAGAGTTAGGTACAAACCGTCCCCACCGGTATTGCTGCATACTGTTGTGCAAACTGTGCAGGTGTTGATCTACAGAAACGTAAACGCACACACAACGATACCCAATGAAGAGCACAACGCAAATAGTCTTGCCGCCATCACCCAACAGCAAAACCTAGCCATTCATAACGTTAAATTTAATGGCATACAAAACACGCGCGTTAAGGTCCCGCCAGTGAGACGATCCGCCTTTGGTGCTAGGACTGCTACCGCTGCCGCTCGGTCCCCTCTCCGACGATTCCGCTGCTGGGCCACGAAGCTGTGACGCTGGTGGTAACGGTGTTGGTTATCATGACCGAAGTCGCGGGAGCAGCCGCGACGGGTGGAAAAACCGGCCTGTCCACAAAAGGTGCGACTTGACGATGGACACCTGCGATCCAGCGAGGAGGTTTGATCTGCCGACTGCAGGCATCGTCCGCCTTGGCTGGGGCGGCGAGGAGGAGTAGGCGCCTCCCTGCGACTTGAAACCCGACTTGTTGTTGCCAGATAGAACTGTTTAACGCAAGCAACGGTCGCGCAAGGGTGAAGGAGCATTCGGTTGTGTCATGCACAGTTTACAAAATGGCATTCTAGCAGATATATATGGCCGTATTGGAAGGCCGACGTACGACAAGCGCCCAATGTTTGTCTACTGTTCGGCATCCTGAACGAAAACTACAATACAACAATAAAGCGTCTCTACAGCCAACACTAGTGCACCTGCCGTTCAGCCAATCGGGAGTAGTTGCATCTCGAACTCATCCATCTCAATATTTTCTCTACGAACACATAATTGTAGCATCGGCTTGCCTTGTACAATTTTGAGTTGCCCAGGCCATCCGGACAGAGCATCCAGCACACCCGGCCCAAAAACCTCCACGTGTTTCTCCTGAGGGGTCAGGTGTTGATAATGTGTTCTGGTCTTAACTTCAATCCTTGGCGGGAGTGGACCCCAGGAGAACAAACTTCGAACGCCTGCATCGCCAAGCCCAGCGCAAGGAAACACCCACACGAATACGAACACACAGTTGGTACCGGGGACCAAACGAAAGGAGGGTCACAAAATGAAGTACGTCGTTTTGCGAGCAATCATGCAATGATTGCTCAGGAGCGACAACCACTCCACCGCCACTAGCTGACATTCTACTGGTGGTACAATGCGGTGCGGTGCGAGCACATAGGGACTATTAAGACTGGGACAACTGAAAGCAAGCGGGCTCTATAGTTACCGACTGGTGCGGAAAAGAGACTATCCGAGGGCAAAATGTAAACCAGGGCAAACATCACAACGGGTTTTGGTGAAACGATGACCACGATAACAAAGAGAACAACTACAACCAGCCCGAAACATCTACTAGTAGTGTACAGTCGTCAAGGCCAGGCGATTCAATCCCAAATGCCGAAGACCCTTTCCACATCTCTCAATGAACGTTGGAGATTTGATTCCAGAGACGGGGTGAAAACCCTCCTTCTAGAACTCTCGGAATGAAGATACGGTGGGTCGTGCGTTGGGTCCCAGATATCAACCATGGAGTGGAACGATCGTGTGTCGCGTGTGATCGAAACCGCCCACTCCCCCGCCCTTCGCAGAAAGCGTCGAATGACCGGGGGGTTAGCGACTGACAACCATCGAGAGTACAACGCAGTAACGTGCAGAGGGCGGACCTGCCGAACTCCAAGCGACGTAACCTATTCATGAAGGTCAGGTTCCCTACAAGGCGTTACGCTGTTTTTTTACCCTCAACGCGGTCGATGTGATTTGAGTACCGCCAGCGATTTCACAAAGAGATAACTTCGGTTCCTTTTTTCCCAGGAGGAGTGCTGAAGAGAAAGTGAGTGCACATCTCACACAGGCAAGCATCCCACTCTCTCTCTGTCCTCCTGGAGGTGTCCTTCCCACTCTCTTCTGAGAGCTACCGTGTATCATTATTTAATCAAACGGGTTCTTCGACTAGCAGCGGATATTCAAAGAGTAGTGAGATTCAATCTATGTCTGCGTCTTAGAGCACAAAACGCTGTGAAGCTGCTTTCACGTTCAACCTACGTTATTCACGACTGGTATCCCTCGCCTGCTCCGCTGCTTGATCTTCTTCATCGTCTTGACAGGCAGTCCTTTGCAGGCCATTGTTGACACACATACTGGCCGCATGGGAGGCGGCAATCTGCAGAGAGAACAAGGAGTTGCGACAAATTGGAGGGCAGAGCTCGTGAGAGGGTTACGCCGTGTGTAGTGAATTGGGTTCGGACATGTACCTTTAGTGCCCATTTCTTATTGCTCGCCTATTTTTTAAGCTCACATGGATATTCCAACGCCATAACGTTGTTGGACCCAAACCCTACGAGTGATGCATGTCTTGTTGACGACTCCGAGGTACGACTTGATGTGTCGCTTACGATGTTTTAGCGCAACAAGGAAACAATATTGCTTTGCCAAAATCGGCATAACCATGGGCGTAACAGTGACCACAGCCAATAAGGTCTGGGGTGGAACCACCTCGAAAGAGCAACTGTTTATGCCGTGCAACATGTGTAGCGTTGAGTTTAACGGACAGCAGGCGTGCAAGTGCGGTTTGGAATTCTCTGCCTTGCTAGCCTTTGTCTGACTGGTACGTTACTAGGCATTAAAAAGGTACGATATATTCCATCGAGGGTGGTAAGGCATTCTGTGGGTCTTCTTCGCGTACAAATGTATGTACCGTTGCTTGGCCGCTTGTGGTCACGAAATAAATCCTCAACCATTTATGGGTAGGGAAGAGGCGATACTGCAAAGTGATCAGAACGACCTTCAAAGTGATGACGGCAACGACAACGACAACAGTTTTCTCTGTCATACTGCTGTTCATGCCACACTAATAATTATTAATTGGACAAAGGAAGCACCCCACTCACCCAAACATTGTCTTCACAACTAGAAGACTAAACATACATGTGTATCACGTGTATCTACCGGCTCGTAATATAATGTATGGAAGTGAAGACCCCCCCCCCAAAAAAATATACATTTATATTACATGGCTTGATTGAGCGGTGCTGTGTCGGCTAATGCATGAGGAGCCGCAGCCTTTCTGCTACTGGTGACCTTCAGAAATTAAGATATAACATGTTCTAGCATGCGCGTGACTGCTGTGACGCGCGCCAAGGGGGTAAGTGGAAGAAAACAAAAGCCCAAAAGACGTGAAACCAGCTGTTGGGTAATTTCCGAATGAATGTCGTTGGGTGGGCTGAAACAAACATGAACGAACTTTCCTATCGTCTGGTTGACAATGATCAGCACCCTAATGGCGTGCCGAATTTGAGGTGCCTCTTTTCCTTTCCTCCTCGTCAATCTGCATGTATGTATCCCTTGCCCCTCTCTTCTTTGCTTCTCCCTGTAGTTCAAATGGCACACACACCTCCCTTCAAAAAAGACTGCAGCTGTCTGTGTACTTATGGATACGGCAAGGCAGCATCCGACACGAAAATACCTCGACGCATCGCCCCCTTCTTCAGCGGTGCCTTCCCCTCTTTCCCTTGGCTTTGCCATGAGAAAATCATCATGAGTTGGTCGAAGCCCTCTTACCTCTTTTGCAGAGGCGCACAGCAGTAGAAGGCGCCATGTCCCCGACAGACAGCAGTCGGTCGTACGAAGCTACGAAGCGTGAAGTCGAGGAAGAAAAAGTGCGGGAAAACACTGGATCACACCACACACCACCGGATCTCGTGCATCCACGCGGTGAACGATATCATCGAACAGGCAGGCAGGGCGTGTGTGCGTGTGTGGACGAGACTGCTTGTGGACGCGAGGCAAGTAGAGCGCTGATGTGGTGATGATGAAGCTGGGTGTGGCGCTGTGTGTGCTGTGTGCGGTGTGCAGCAGCGGAGGCACTCTGCTTCGAAGC